GACTGACTAGGAACTCAGGTGCGTAAAAACACCATAAACAAGAAATTCGGCTGGGTAAGTTTCCTGTTGAAACCAAATTGGTACGCAGACGAGCGCATAAGTCACATATTACTATTATTATCCCGAAGGATGACGAGCAGTCGGCATGAGCTTACGAAACGCTGACGGCGTCCCCCCACCAAGATGCAGCCCAAGCATCGGCCAGCCTGTCGGTGGTTGTCCTTAAATCTGGAGCCAGCCACTGAGGCATCACATATCCGCCTAGAGTCACAGACACTTCCCTCAAAGACCTGAAACACTTCGCACTATTGACCCATGCCGTCCGCTTGGTTGTCAGAAGCGCACCTTCGCGTTCGCCGTCTCAACTGCTGCCTTTCACATCGTTGGTCCATGGAACCATTTCGACATCACAGGAAATTTTGGAATCGGCCATTAGGTAGACGAATGTGCGGTTATATGCTGATACCCGATCTGGAAGACACCACCCAATCCGAATTCTATCCTTCATGACCCAGGAAACACTCGGCTATGAAGCAGATTATGGAACATCCCACTAAAACCATCGAAATGCTCAGTACCATGCGACCAGAAGCCGGAGAAGCTTGGTTTGACATAGAGTCAGTGCAGGTTGCCACAGGGTACAGAATCCGAGGACGTAGAAGCCATACAAGATAATACCTTCGGATATGCTTTACGGTTAGGGCACGCAATTGACCGTATTAGGCCCCATGGACTTTGGGTTCATGCTATCGCTTCGTATTAAACATCCTTCGCATTTTCCTTCAGCTTAGGTACGTCAAATCTTAGAGAAAGCGCCATTCAGCCTACGTAAATCCGTCTTGTTCTCGCGCCCAATCAGGATATAGAACTTATACGTAAAATTAGGAGAGCACTGTTCATGTCCAGATGATGAACCCACCCAGATGAACGGATCTACCTACACCACACCTTCTCTTGCCTTAAATCATGGCTGGCTTATTTGGAAGATGCCAGTTGTCTTTGAAATGGTGCAGAAAACGGACACTGAGTTGGTAGGCGGATTCGGGGAATTTACTATGCATAGAGAAAACTACTAGAGCTATTCAATCTAAAACATATGCTTTCGTAGAGATCTCATCAAGTTGTATAGACTGCTGCCGGTGCGGAAGCGCCACAACGGGGAAGTATATATATAAACCAAAAGGCCGTAAAAGGCATAACTTAGGTGTTACACTTCCGAATACGATCCTGCAGCGACTGAAATACGCAGAACCAGTAGTAACATATGGAAGTAAAACAGACGATAACTGTCGTCATCATCATCGACAGCACGACTCAAGTGTCCAACAGCGATGGTTCGCTGCCGTTATTAAAACCATCAGACGAATGCTGGCATCTGGACATTTCGCCCTTCGAATCGCCTTTGGTCTCCCCAGCTATTGCAGCTCGTTACTTCCAGCACCAGCTGCTCACCAAGGGCCGGAAGTGGACATTTTCAGCAGAACGCGAACGCACGGGCAAGTCTGGGAGCCTTCTCTAGACTCTGATCATCCAGTAATTCGCAACTAGAAATAACTGTCGCCGGATGATACCAACCATGGAGGTGGGGAGTGACCTCGTGATTCCCCGACAAAAGCCAAAAAAACAATTGCCCGTTTGGCCTAACACTCATTGGCCGCTTTACAACTATGTCAGCAAAGGAGCTTTGTCGGTCAAGATTTCCATCAAACAGCCCCATAAGACTCCCAACTTGCCGGTTTACTGCACAGAACTATCACTAACCCCCTTTCTGTACCTTAAATGAACTTCCGTTGTGCACTACCAGCCTCCCCACAGTGACTCGCTGCTCACCTGGGGAACGACTACAAGGGTGAACAGCCCATAAAGGCTGGCGCACTATTGCACCTAATTGATCCAGTAATGTCGGAGCTCAAAGCCACCGTAACCGCAGCGACCCTTGGACCTGCAGTCAAGAGTCGGCGGTTCGGCGTCACGAGAGACGCAGCCTCTCAGTGATAACTGCAGCGTCACCAAGCACCACGTATCTCAGCGACCGCCCATCTACTCGAAAGGTGAGTGGGACGCAAATTTAACCGGCTCGAAACACCATCCGTGTTTGCCAGGTTCCGCCTTCGGGGAAAGCATTGCCACTCCATACCAGCTGTAACAACCCGGCCTCTCATAAACTTTTAGACTCAGCAGGCAGTTAATTATCCGTGAAAACGGCTCAGGTAAATAATTCCTATCGAAGATGGCCGTCGTTGGATCGACGGCCATGATTCATTCCGAAGTTTTGTCTTGGTCTTCCTAGAATGGGAAGAACAGATAAAATAGGCAGATATACCGGCAGAAAACCAAGGGCTCGTAGTCAGGGGTCACTGGGTATCACTCTGGACTGAAAGACGCTATGGCCGGTTGTACTGGGCAGGGAAAGACTGGAGGCAAACGGCACACACGTCTGAAGATACACACATTGAAGAGTGCCCACTTTGAACGCAATTTTGTGTAGATAAAGAATACCCAATTTGATGTGAAAATTCAGGGAGCCAGCTAGCGAGGCGTTCAGATTTCAAAGGGACGTTGGAGAGGGATAATGTACCCGAACGGGATGATAGGCGGAAAATGTTAGAATCCTATCAATCGCCAGTTTAAAACCGTCGAGCGAGGGAGCGGACACAGCGACTTGGCAATCCTCCTGTACATAAGAACCACCACAAATGAGAGAACTTACGCGAGGAGCCCTATAGTCGGGAATTGTGAAGCTATCGAAACCGTTCAGATGTAACACCCTGACGGCGTGCAGCTGCCAGGCTTCCCGAAGGAAGCACGAGGGCTGGGATACCACCAGGCTGCCCAAACCTACAGGGGAAGTATGAATGGAAATCGGGTTCGAACCAGATACTTCCGGCCAGTCAATTCGCGCTCTAACCACTCAGCCACCAGGATCCTTAACAATTTGTGGAACGGGCTACAGACTACAGTACATTCGCCAATGAGAAATGTGGGAATGTAACTTCTGCATCTAAATTTCGTCTGGGATACTTTGCCCGAGTAGACAGACGCAGAAGCCGGTAGCTTCACACCGAGAAGTGTCGTTCGAGAGAAGCACCTTGGTAGAAACACTCACTGACCTCTGGTAGGACTATCAGCATACTAGTTGTGCTCACCATATTACACTAAATGGACAAACACGGATGGTTACGCCATGTCAGCCAACAAATGAGATTACGCGAGCCCTATAGTCGGGAATTGTGAAGCTATCGAAACCGTTCACATGTAACACCCTGACGGCGTGCAGCTGCCAGGCTTGCCGAACGAAGCACGAGGGCTGGGATACCACCAGGCTGCCCAAACCTACAGGGGAAGTATGAATGGAAATCGGGTTCGAACCAGATACTTCCGGCCAGTCAATTCGCGCTCTAACCACTCAGCCACCAGGATCCTTAACAATTTGTGGAACGGGCTACAGACTACAGTACATTCGCCAATGAGAAATGTGGGAATGTAACTCCTGCATCTAAATTTCGTCTGGGATACTTTGCCCGAGTAGACAGACGCAGAAGCCGGTAGCTTCACACCGAGAAGTGTCGTTCGAGAGAAGCACCTTGGTAGAAACACTCACTGACCTCTGGTAGGACTATCAGCATACTAGTTGTGCTCACCATATTACACTAAATGGACAAACACGGATGGTTACGCCATGTCAGCCAACCGAGTTTCCTTGCAAGCAGCTTTCTATAACTCTGGAATCACTCGGGTCATAGTTGCTGGCATTCCTCCATTGCAAATAACGAAGAATGGGATTTCCGCAGTCCACATTGTGGAGTTGCCGGATAGTTTAAGGCTAAAAATGTATATCGTGAGCTGTTCATTCTAACGCCAAACAGTAAACCCCACCCTAAATCAAGTAGACCCTTGGGTGTTATTGCTCCATGAGGCTGCCATCGGTTATAAAATACAGAACCTAACAATATGGGGCTCGGGATCCATGATACCTAATCAACCGGCGTCGACCATGGCGGACAACTAAAAGACGCTAGATCAAATGAATGACTTGCGACTAGGGACTTTAACAGTGGTGAGATAAGACTCACATCGACCCCAGCCGAGCTCGACTAGCAGTCACCCATCCATCTCAACTGAGAAAAGACAATGAACGAGATGAAAAGTTGAACTTTATGAGGCGTTTTGATGAGTAGGCCTTATTTACGCGCACTGTTCAGTGAGATTGGGGTCCTGAAATGTACAAAAATCCAGGAAGGGTAGGACTTATTTACGCGCACTGTTCAGTGAGAGATTGGGGTCCTGAAATGTACAAAAATCAGTTAGTTTATGGAAATATCACTGAGGCAAGTGGCGGATGAATTGGCAGTAACACTTACTCCATAAAGCGAGCACTTCAGCGGTGTCAGTCTCGTAGAACTGCACTTATACGGTGTCATTTTCAAGTGCTCACTTCTATCGCGTCATATCTTGTAGCTGATATCTACAAAGAATGATGCCCTAAGAAATCCGGCTTACCTTAAATGCATGAAACTTCAGTAGGCGAACAGACTGGAGCCCAATCAACAGCGAAGCCGTTGGTGAATGAATTCATCGCCTAGCCAGAGTAGACATCTTTCCATACTTCGCCAAAACGAGGGCGAAACCAGGCTACATCATTCTGCATTCTTTTAGGACTTTATTCTTTCCTACCAAACTGGCGCTTAGATGATTAGAACCGATATTATCCTGCAGATTCTCGGTTTCTCTCCGCAGCCGGAAATGTAGACGCACTATGTGCTGGTATCCTGTGCTTCGGTCCAAATGAACATCATGGAATGGCATTCCGGATCGTTTGGAAGTTCAACCTATGCGCTTTTGGGTGGAGACGAGTCCGGACAGCAATAACAAGCAATCGTAAACGCACTCACATTGGGGACAAGCCTGAAGATCCACAGCGTACAGTGGGCAAGGTTCATCAGCACAGCACTCGAAGTGTCTCGATGAGCGGTCACTTGAACACCAGCTGCCAGCCATCATCAACCGACATCTGCGTTGAGCTGCACTATTCTCGACCACCGACAGCAAATTATGTATGTATCAGGCATCGGGGCAAAAGGATTCGCCTCGGAACAATCCACTCTGATGACCTTGCCAGGACTATAACAGAAGCACGCCACCGGATTTGTCAAGCTTCACCTAGACCGAAGGCACATCACCTTCCAAAATAAGACCCAAATATCTGTCACTTACTCAACACATAGGGTCAGAACTTTCGACGGTAGTTGTAGAGGTCCTGGGTGGTTAGGACCTTGCCGAATTCGTCGGCTACAAATTGCCGCACTTCACACAACGGCGTACCATAGTTCAGCAGTGCCCTGCAAGTGCCCACCTCCTCTTTGGTTAGCCGTCGGTTTACAGGAATTCGATCGTACGAATACTTGGTCAACTCATGATTATGTTCAAGATAATACGAGGTGACTAGGAGTTTGTTTCCGCGTCTCCTTAGACAAAATCGGACTGGACAACCGGTGCTTCGTGTACTGTTTCTGTTATAAGCAAATGCGCTCAACTTACTAGCTCTTTCTAATTCCCCGACTTTCGCTTGGTTTCGGGGGTCGCCTGTTGCATTTATAGTACACCCATTCATATCGCAAAACAGCGTTTGTGCTTCGACTGCTGGATGAACGCACGAATACCACGTAGTTATTCTTCATGTATTCATTTAACGCCTTCTCAAACGCCTTGAAAGATGAAAACGATACGGCGCCCAAATTCTCAGCAAACGCATCTGAAGCCGCATCTGAAGTAGCCTCTGAAGCCATAGCAAAGCACGTTCAAAGTCGAATGCGCGCCACAAATGAGGAGAAACACTAATTACAACAAATGTCGAAAAAATGAACGGAGAGTTGCGTTAATTTTGACTTGCCTACGCATAAAACAAAATGCAACATTTGGCGTGAGAAGTTTAATTTCTTTCATAAAGGCTTCGCAGATAAAAGCGTTGTGCCCAAATGTGCAGCCTGAGCCCTGCCGAGCGTTAGATGCACATTGTGGCGATTTGTACCTTTATTTTACTTCCATTATAACACTACGTATTTCGTCAATTTCATAATCGTTTTTCGTTTGAATACGAAATACTACAAAGACGCGCACTTGTACAATTTCACAGAATACAAGCGTGGTCACGTGCTTCGACTCTCTCTTCTGATTTCGCTCGCGCTTGCAGCGGTCATTCGCGAGTCTCATGTACTAACTCTGGTACCAAAACATTTCAGACATCTTCGGAATCTGTTATACGTGGGAGCTGTTCAGAAGAAGACCTCTGGACCAACATAATTGGATTATTGTTTATTCGCTGACCTGGGCCGACGACGAACTATCTTAAAGAGAACAATTGTTAGTGAGTCTGTTCCATCTGATCTCTTTATATTTTGTATACCCAACCTAGCGTCATTATTTTTGTTTCTTTGCCCACACACTCCGGTAAACTAACTTATTGAGTAGCCAGACCACTACAACGTCTCAAATTATCTAAATAAAACCAGCTCCGAGGTAGAATTTAACATGAGGTTTTAGCATTTGGTGCTGTTTATTTAAACACTTAAATCCTCCCATTGGACTGCAACTTTGTTTGAAGTTGTTCGAACGTACTCGAGGCCCACTGTGAGCTCCGGATTCATGTTTTTGATGTCTGGTACGGGTCAGTACATTTTGTCCGTGCGGCCGGCAGATGATTCAGTCGCTTGACGAAGGCCGCCATCCCCCTGCTTGGAAGGAAGCGATTGTCACGCCAATCTACAAAAATGGTGACCGACTATCGCCTGGCAACTATAGGCCTATAAGCCTCACTAGCGTGCCGTGCAAGGTGATGGAACGCATTCTGAAGCGAGCCATCCTAGATCACCTTACTTCCAGCAATCTGATATCTCCAGCTCAACACGGATTTCTCCCAAACCGTTC